AATAGTAGATATGATAGTTGTCTGAATTGGATTCGCCCATTCCCATTATTTTAGTTCACTGACACCCAGGGTGTCAATGTTTATTCTTTCCATCTCCTGTTTGACCACATCTAGCTTACCACGGTTCATAGATATTTCATTTCAGGTTCCTATGCAATATTTTTCTTTGCAGCATTAGAATTTCCTTTCACTTCCAAGAGTGTCCGCAGCTGAGCGTCCTTTCGGCTTTGGCCCAACCACTTCATTAGCTCTGGAGCTACTTGTACTTGTCCTCCACTCTTCCTCAGTTGCATGTTGGATGCCTTCCGACCTGAGGGGCTCATTTTCCAGTGTCATATCTTTTCGCCTTTTGTTTCTGTCCATGGAGTTTTCTTGGCAAAGATCCTGGAGTGGCTTGCCAGTTCCTGCTCCAGGTGGATCGCGTTTAGTCACAACTCTCCACTATGACCTGTCCGTTTTGAGTGTCCCTGCATGGCATAGCCCTTAGCTTCTCTGAATTACTCAAGCTCCTTTGCCACGACAAGGCATCAATCCATGAAGGGGAAGCTACACTTGAGTCAATCTAACTAACTGGCTGTACCTAAAAGAACACAGGTCAGAGAAGACCTATATAGTTCAACATTCAGGCCATAATTAATTGTGTGATAATTTTTTTCTTATATTTGTTGTGCTTTTATGCTGTAAGCCGCCTAGAGTGGTCACGATGAGTAGATAGGCGGGCAATAAATAAATAAATAAATAAATAAATAAATAAATAAATAAATAAATACATACATACATACATACATACATACATACATACATACATACATACATACATACATACATACATACATACATACACACTGTGCCCACCTATATTTTTATAGGAAGATCACAAGGACATGAGTGCCACGGCATACTGCCAGGAAAACCAGGAGCTGAGTGGCCATCGTAGCCTCAAATACAATGGCTGAAATCCTGTCACTTACTTCTTAGTCACAGCTAGAGTAGGCCCACTGAATCAGTGGGGATTTGGTGAATCAATGCCTCTGTAACTCTAGTTGAGACTACATTTTGTGACAGGATTTCAGCCTTGGCTAATAAAAGTAAATCTGACACAGGCTGTCTTGTACCACACCAAGTTTCAACTTTTAATTTATGGGTCATAATATCTACTTCCATCATATACTTTTTACTAGTCCTACTCATTCAAATTGAACAATAGCTTGATATACAGGTTAAATCTAAGCTTAGAGTAAACCTTCTCTAAGCAATGGGACAAATTAGTCATAAAAACCATTCTTGCATTGGATCTACATAGGTATTGCTAAATCTGGATCCAATACAGTGCACGGTGCAGACCTATTGAAAGCAATGGGACAAATCATTCACAATGGCAATTCATACAAAGTGTTGATTTGGGGGTGGGCATTGGTGTCTTGGGCAAGTGTCACCGGTTTTTAAGTTGGAATCTCCATCTTTTGTGTACAAGACAGAGAGACAGGAAACTGAAGCTATCGGCCCACTATCCCTTTCCATTCTTTTAACTTGAAAGGTGCTGAGGAATGGGCCTCTATGCAAATACATTTCTATCCAGCAGTTGGCTGCCAATGCACATGTGTGTGCCCTTTATCTGCTCAGCTTTACAGTCAAGGAGGTGAGCTAGAAAACTTCCTCATTTTCCCCACACATAAGCATGCCTAGAAAGAGTGTGAGAGGGAACTACAATCTCTTCTACCATCCCAAGACTCATTTGTTGCTCATCTTGTACATGTGCATGCCTTTTATTGGCTCTCCTTATTACATATGTAGTAATATTTCCTCCAAGAAATTTACATGGTGTTTTTTTCCAGCACGTGGAGATAAATTTGCAAAATTTCTCTGTGCAGTGCTTTGTTAGAAGTACAGGAATTAAGTAAATACTGTAGTAGATGAATCAAGCCTTGATGCCCACAGATATTTATAACATGACAAAAAACAAAAACAAAAAACCTCTAGGGAATCAGTGCTGAGGAAATAGACTTGAGTTGCCACCTAACTATTTAGAACAGCATTTTGAACCAACTTTTGCTGTTATTTAGGATAATAACACTATTTCATACACTAAGGCTTATTTACATGTTTGAATCTTAAATCCTAGATGACATAATAGCAGCATGCTAAACTACGTTAGTGTAATGTGATTCTTAAACAGCTGTCATATTCGTTTCAGCTCCTACTGCTTAATACCAGGCTACAATGCTGGTACAGCAGTGCCTCGACTTACGAACATCTCGACTTACAACCATTTCGAGTTACGACCAGCTCCAACAGCAAAATTTTGCTTTGACTTGTGGCCGGAGCTTCCAGTTACGAGCAGGGAAAAAAGGTGGGAAATTCAAATTGCTAATCATTGGTAGGCGAAGAGGCTGCTTCTTTGTAGCTCTTTCACCCCCAACGGTTAGAGTAAGTGCGATCAGAGGAGGCTTCGGACTGCCTGGTAAGGTAAGGTGCTGCTCTCTGCTTTTAAAAAAACTGTTCCTGGGTGGGTTTTTCAGCGTGGTTTTGGGCTGAGGGGCTATGTTTCTGTGCTGTGATGGGTCTTGGGGGGTTTGTTTGTTTTTTTTGGTTTTTTCCACATTTCCGATGGGTCTTGGGGGGTTTATTTGCTTTTGGGGGTTTTTTTACCCCATTTCCGATGGGTCTTGCACAATCTGCTAGCTTTTTGCTTTGCTTTCTTTGCATTTCCGATGGGTCTTGCACGATCTGCTTGCTTTTTGCTTTGCTTTCCCGATGGGTCTTGCATGCTTTATCCCCCCCCCCTTTGGCCAGAAGAGATTAATCACATTTCGATGTTCCATGCAGTGATTTTTGTGTGTGAGTTTTTCTTCTGCTGGAACGGATTCATTACATTTCAATGCATTCCTATGAGAAATGGTGCTTCGACTTACGACCATTTCGAGTTATGACCAGAGTTCCGGAAACAATTAAGTTTGCAAGTCGAGGCACCACTGTTTTATGTTGAAGTGTAGTCAGTTGATGACCTAACAAGGGACATGTTGAATTTCAACAAAGTTACCAAACCAGTCTCCCAAGACATTACATTTCTCAGTGCTACTAAGACAGTGATATACAGGTAGTGCTCTTAATCCTTAATCCACCAATTCAGGTGGTCGAGTTCAGTGTTGAGAAACTGAGCTTCACAGTTCCGATTTGCACGGTCTACCAGTGTTTTGATTATGCCTCTTTTTTGCCGTGGGTGGTGGTTGGAGTTTTTGTGTAGGTACCTGTCTGTGTGGGTGGGTTTTCTGTAGACCTTGTGTATCAGTCGGAGGTCAGTTTTGCGTAGGACCATGACATCTAGGAACGGGAGTTGGCCCTCTCTTTCTTTTTCCATGGTGAATTGTATATTTGGGTGGATGCTGTTGAGATGGTTGAGAAATTCTTCCAATTTTTCTTCACCGTGACTCCAGATTGTAAAGGTGTCATCCACATATCGGAACCAGACTGTGGGTGCGAGGGGTGCCGAAGCCA